CTGCACTCCTGACAAGGGCCTTCAGCACCTGGGGGCCCAGCTCTCCTCCTGTTTCTTCCCCTTCCTTCTCTGAAGAAGGAACACTGAGGCAGCCCTTGCCCACGAGTGCAGACCCCCCTCCAGGGTAGGGGGGAAGGGGGGGAAGAGGGTCAGTCTAAAGTGGTCCAAGTGCACTTCTAGTTTCCCTTAGGCCCCCTTCCAAGGGATCTTGATGTAGTGGGAAGAACACAGAATCATGGATGGGTTAAGTCTGATTCAGATCCAGGCTTTGCCCTTGACTGGCTCTGCGACCTCAACCAAGCCACATCATCTCTCCCGTAGAATGGGGGTAGAAGACAGCAGGTGCTCAGAAATGCTGTAGACAGATGTGCTGTGTGTAGCAGGGAACAGGCAGAGCAGAGGGCTACAGAAGTAGAAAAGGAGAGGATGCCTGAGTTGGAGAATTGCTGGGACCACATGCCCAAGACTAGCCAGGCCTCTGGACTGTGAGAAATGGTTGGCCTGACTGAGGAGGAATCATGACAAAGGGGATGTCGTGGTCAGTGTCATCTGTCCATGACCCTGTTCCTTCCTCATCCTGACTTGGAATGGCCTCTGTGCCCTGCTCTTACCTAGCCCAGGACCTTTGTATATACTGCTCCCTGCTCCCTTCTTGCTAACTGCAAACAGCCTTCAAGGCTTAACTCAAGCCTGGGTCCCTTCCTCCAGCACCGGCTGCTTACCTAGCTGTAGTACTTACCCACCACTTGTATTAGTTGGTTTATCTATCAGTGTCCCTCTGTGAGCTGTGTCCCCCACACCTTAAGGGAGTGGGAGCTGTAACCAGTTCATCCCCACACCCTCAGCTCCATACACTCGGGCTGGCATATGGAAGGGTCTAGTGAAGGTATGTTGAATAAATGAAGAGAGGCAGGGACAGAGTGAATGAAGATATACTCAGAGTCAGGTACCAAAAGGCTAAACAAAGGGACCTGGAGAGTAATGAGGGCCCCAGCTTCCTCTGCGGGCATTAGAGGATGCTCAGCCTTGCACTAGACTAGTTCAGGTCACTAGAGCTGGAATTTGATCCTGCACCAGTAACACTTACCTTGACTTGTAATTATATACATTTTTTTTTGCATTATTATTTGAAGAACATCTATACCCCTATTAGATTAAGCTCTTTGAAGCAGCATCTGTCTTTGTTCTTGTTCATCACAGTATCCTAGTGCCCAGCACAGTGCCTGACACACAACAAATATCCAGTAAATATTTGAAGAATGAATGAATATTGGAGGGAAAGAATCCCCTCCCGCCCCAAACACACCCAGGATCAGTGCACTAAGGGGTCACATGCAGAAACCACGGTCCCTCAGCCACTTGCTGCATTCTCTACCCCATAGTGAGTTCAGCACCCTCACCCTCATTGCTTTCAAACCACTCGGGCCCCAGTCGAACTATCCCAGGAAGTGGGACAGCCTGGGCTAAGCCTACAGCAAAATGCCAATCATTCCCGAGGCTAGAATGGGGTTGGTGGATTCCCCACACCACCCCTTGGTTTATTGGATCCCAGCTATGCACCAAGCACTACTCGGCATTTTCCTATCTGTTCTTATATTTTATTCAAACGTCATACTAATAAAAATAGTAGCTGACATTTTTGAGTACTTACTATGATCCTGGCACACACTTTACATGTATTAACTGATTTCATGTTTGCAACAATCTCATGAGGTAGAAATGATCACTACACCTTTTTATAGATGAGGACATGGAGGCACAGAGAAGTCAACCTATCCAAGGTCAAAGAGTAAAAAGCTGGGCTTTGATCCCAGGTCTGCCTGTCCTCTAAATCTGCAGCCCTTCGCACTGCACTGCCCCAGGTGCCCCAGATCTCCGATTCGAATTCAGGGTCTGGCCACCCACGCTTAGATCTAATAGTTCCTTGTCCAGGACCCTCTCCCTGGGGCCACTGTGGAGGAGGGGGATACTGTGGGGGGCCGAATACAGCCTAGAGTAGCTTACTGTCTTTACCTGTCTCTACTCTCTGCTCTCAGGCACAGAGAGGGGCATGACAAGGGCCATTTGGGGCTGCAACTGCCTCTCTGGGGCAGATGGGATGAGGGAGGTGAGGGGAAGCGGCCCCAACTCTAGGCTCAACACTCTCCCCCACCCCCAGCCCTCTGGCTTCCCTTTTCAAGCACTAGCTTGGGAGATCAAATGTTCTGCCCCCAGGAGTGTGTAATTAATTAAGGAAGACTCTAACCAGATCAAGACCTCACTACCTCTCATTCTTCCCCTACCCGCAGGAAAGCCAGACTCCTCTTGAGTATCCTCATACTTCCTAAGCCCTAACCACGCCCCTCTGAGGACTCATCTCAGCCCCCAGAGACACGGGTTGATAGTAGGGTTAGGCGGCCCAGGTAGGAATGCACTGGGGGGAGGCGCCTTCAACGAAGGGGATGGCTTTTGTTCTCCCTTCTTTGCATCCCTTCCCCCACATCTTCTCAATCGTGGGAAGCTCTGATGGTGTGTGGGCTGGGAGGGGGTGCCAGGCAGGGTATTGTAACGGGAGGTAAGAACACGGGTAAGGACGTGATGTGGGGACATGGTGTGCTTGCAGGGAAGTAACAAATCCGGACACAAGTGAAGGGAGGTATGTGTTCCGTGCTGCACAAGGCACATTCAACAGAGTACTTTATGCCCCCTTCAAATCTTCGTCCTGGAGCGCACCCACCAAGTGTCCCTTCACTGTGCGGCTCCCAGACCCCACCCCTCCCTCGGCGTTCAAAGCCCATGGTCCCACCCTCTCTTCCTACCCACTGCGGGGATGCCCTACCTCTTCGGGCCGAGTGCCCATCCCAGAGTCCTGCTAAAATGATTAGAGTGAAGGAGTAAGTGAGGGGGTCACTCCAGGAGACGCAGGCCACGGACCTTCCCCCATCCCGGGGCCTCGAGAGTAGGAAGGCGACACTTGAGCAGGAGCTTGGAACACCCCCTCCCCTTTATCTGAGCCCTCAGCCCGGGAATGCGGCGCAGGACAGGATGCGCAGGACTCCACTCAACACCGCCTACCCTCCTCTGGCCGCCCGCCACACCTCGCGCCGATGACAGCGGCGGCGCCTAGGTCCCCCACCTCGTCCCCTCTAGCCCCTGCCCTCGGCAGTTCCCAGCTAGGGAAGAGAGGAGGGCTCCGTCCCACTGGGTCCCCGATGCCCGAGGCTTCCCTCTCAGCTCCCCCGCCCCCAACGCCCGGGGCCTGAGCCTCGCGGGGCGCCCCTCCCCCGGGCAGCCTCTGCAGCGCCGCTGGGCTCCGTGGGGGGAATACTAAGGAGCCGCGCTGCGGGTCCAGCCCCAGAGCTGGAGCGCGCGGCGAGGGGCGGAGCGACCCCGGGAACCGGCCCCAGCGCGGCCCCTGCCCCTCTCCCTGTCAGGCTTTGGGCTGACGGGTCGAATGCCTCAACCTCCGCCTTGGACCAACTCCACTCTCGCCGGCCTGGTCTGCCTCCCGGGGTCTGGCCCCCTGCACCTGAAATAGCTGCCGGTTGCCTGCAGACCTTCAGCATCGCCAAACCCTAGCTACCGTCCCTACTTAAGAAAGAATTCCGCTACGGAGCTCTGCCCTGCCTGGAAAGAAGTGAGGGACTGCTCCGTGTGAACCGGGAGATCCACAAGGCTTTGCCTACACTCCCTACTGGGTCCAGCCAGACTCTAATTTGGGATGGGCAGGTTCCTTAGAAACCTGTTCATTGCCCCACAAAGGTTTACTGCCCAAGGTTCCCTCCTTCTGACACTGGGGAAATCACTGCATATGCACACCCACCCCCCCAACACACACACACGTTTCTGCATCTTAAGGGCCTGAGTCCCCATTCCCACTCCACCTCCTTTCTCCTTTGACATTTATTTCCAGAAGCTGTTTTCCTAACCCTCTCCCTGGTTCTGGTTATTTATCCTCTGAACCTTTCAAGTGTGCAGGCAGTCTCAGGGTGGGAATCCCAGCCTCGGGCCTCACTTACTGGCTCAGCAACTTTGGGCAAGTTACTTAACCTCTCCCCTTCCTCCTCTGTAAAAAAGAGATAAAAATACTTCCTACCCTGGCTCAGTTGTTGTGAGATTAAATAAGATCCATGTATAAATGGAGCATTTTAGCCCAGTGCCAGGAACATGGTAATTGTTTAGGAAAGAGTAGCCACACTTCTCTGCTGACACTTGCTGAAAAGGACTGCCCTCTGCATCTGAACAGCAGTGGGGTCCCATCCTCTTTGTCCTGGGCCCTGTGACCCTGGAAGCTGATCAACTCCCTGCACCCCCAGCTCCTTCTAGACAATGAGTGTGAAAGGACTCGGTCTAGAAGGAGCTGGGGGTGCAGGGAGTTGATCCACCATCCAGACTAGAGTGTCTGCCCAGACAGCCCCAGGAATGGGAATGCCTGGGCCTTAGAAGGAAGGAGCTCTGGGGGAGTTTGCTCTATACTGTTATCACCCCACTTCCAAGAAGTTAGGTACAACAAGGCTGAAACACAAAAGGGAAGTTGAGCCTGGAGAAGCCTGGATTTGGCCTCCCAATGACTCCTGGGAATTCTGAAGGGCCAGGGCTGAGGGGCCATGAATTTGGGAGGTGGAATGAGGAGGGGCAAGAGAATCATCTTATTGCCTTTATTCCGCTGACGGCCCAACTGGCCCCACGGCAGGGCACAGGGCCAAGCCTTTACACACTCACCCATGCTCTCTGTGCAGGCCAGTGCATGCACACATACGCTCACACACATACTCACACACACACACATCCAACCTCTGGCTCTGAGAGTCAGTCTCTGGGGGGCAAGGGGCTGCTCCTCAGCTGGCCCCTGCTTGCCCTTTTATGACAGCACCAAGGGCGGGGGTGGGGCAGGGCCCTCAGCCCCCAGAACAAGTCCCTGTGCAAACTGGAGGTGCCAGCTGGCTTCCGGCGGGAGGGCTTACGTTTCCCCATTCCCAGGGTTCCCTCCTCCAGTTCCTGAGGGAGGGGCTGCTCTCTGCCTACCTGGGGGGCCAGACCCCTGCCAGGGCTGGGCCCTGGAGCCCAGGCTTATTCCCCACCTGACCATGCCAGGACCTCCAGCACTGATGAACAGCCAAGTCTGAGGTGGTGGGGATCCCCCCACAGGCGAGCAGGAAGGCCTGGGCCCCGAGGGGCTGGGGAGGGGTCGTCACCCCCTCTCCTAATCCATCTTCAATATGAAGAGGTTTGGGGCACACTTCCTGGGGAGGGAGCACAGGCCTGGAGGAGAAGTCCCAGCTTAGGCCTCGCCCAATCTTCCATCTTCTGGGCCACAGCCTAAGACTGGGCATCCAAAAGTCCAAAAGTCCAGTCGGCTGGTCGGAGTTCCTGCACGGTCCTTGGTGGGGTACGCACCCAGTGGGAGTCGGGTGTCAGACTTGCACAGGCAACGTCTGGTTCATCTGCAGCCGCATGTCCTGGATACTGCTGAGGATCTTCTTCTGGTGGCCCGCCAAGGTGACCCCGATCCGGAGCAGGTCTCTGCAGAGGGGCCAAGGGCAGCGTCAGTGCCTCCCCTCTTGCCCACCACTCGGGCCCAGCTCGGAGCCCCCAGCCCCGGCCCTCCAAATGTGAGGCACACTCACTCTGCAGTCATCTGGGCCACCAGGTCAAAGGATGCAAACCCCGCGCTGACAAAGCTCTCCTTGTACCGCCCCATCTTGATGGCATCCAGCCAGTCACCAACTGTCGTGAAGGTCGTGTAGTCAGGGACCGTCCGGTCCAGGAGGGGTTGTGACATGCTGTGGGAAGAAGAGGGGACCTGATGAGGCCTGATGTCAGGGGAAGCAGGGTAGGGTTGCTGGCTCCAGATCAGAGACTGAGGTACTGACCCAGACTGGGCACTGGCGATGACCTTAAGGCTGGCGGCATTACGAATGAGCTTGTCCAGGGTGTTGACGATCTGGGAGAATTTGGGCCTGAGGTTCCGGTCCCGCACCCAGCAGTCCAGCATGAGCTGGTGCAGTGCTGTGGGGCAGTCCATGGGTGGGGGCAGCCGGTAATCTTGCTCCACGGCATTGATGACCTGAGCCAAGAGCCAGGAACCCTGGAGTGAGCCACCACTTGGCTCCCCAGCAGCTCCCACCCACCCAAGCACTCTGGCAGGTCCCACTCACATCCTGGTTGCTCATGTCCCAGTAGGGTCGCTCGCCGTAGCTCATGACCTCCCACATGACGATGCCATAGCTCCAGACGTCACTAGCAGAGGTGAACTTCCGATAGGCTATGGCCTCTGGGGCAGTCCAGCGGATGGGGATCTTCCCGCCCTGGTGAGGGGGGCACACGCCCTTCACCCGATGTCTCGGGGCTGGTCCCCAGCCCCGAGCCCCTGCCTGGCCGGCCCCGCCCCCGGTCTCCCTCCCAGCTGCTTCCTGTACCAGGGAGCTGGTGTAGGTGGGATCAGAGGGGTCATCCTCCAAGAAGCGGGAGAGGCCGAAGTCTGAGACTTTGCAGACCAGGTTGCTGTTGACGAGGATGTTGCGGGCAGCCAGGTCACGGTGCACATAGTTCATCTCGGACAGGTACTTCATGCCGGCAGCAATGCCTCGCAACATGCCCACCAGCTGGATGACCGTGAACTGTCCATCATTGAGCTAGAGACAATGAGGAGGCTCAGGAGGCAGCCCATCCCCTCCTGCCCGGCCCTAGGTCTGTCCAAGAACCTGCCTGCCTGCCCACCTTCCCAGGTCCGTCAAGACCACGCCTCGTCTACCACTCTGACCATATCCACTGTGCATTCGAGAGTCAGGAGCTGCCCTCCTGTGTGGCCAGCATCTGCACATATCACCCGATTAACCCCTGTGAGGACCCAAAGAGCTCTTCCACTTTTATTTTACAGCCAAAGCAGCTGAGACTCAGAGAGGTTAAGTAAAGCCTGAGGTCACACAGGCAGCAGGGGGCAGAGTCAGGATGAGCACTCTGGTCTTCCTGGCTCTGAAAGGTCCAACTGTCTCCCTGCACTGTGCCACCTCAGCAAATATTTGGACTTGAATAGGGTCTGTCTGACTCGTGGGAGCAGGTGGTTTACCCAACCTAGCTCTCTCAGGGAGTGGAAGGGGGCTCTCACCCGCAGGAAGGAGTCCAGGGCGCAGTTCTCCATGAACTCAGTGAGGATCATGACTGGCCGACTTTTGGTGACCACGCCCTCCAGCCGGATTATGTTGGGGTGGTCAAACTGACCCATGATGGAGGCCTCGCTGAGGAAGTCCCGCCGCTGCCTCTCTGTGTAACCCACCTTCAGCGTCTTGATGGCCACAAACACCTCCCGGCGGCCAGGCTGTTTCAGCCGACCCCGGCACACTTCTCCAAACTCCCCTGCAAAGTACAAGGCACAGGTAATAAGCTATTTCTGTACCTAACTGGCCTCCGCCCTCCCCCAGGGGTAACCATCAGCCTCTCCTCCCCACCGTGTGCCCCAACAGACTCACCAGCTCCAATCACCTCCTCAATCTTGACACAGGACACATCAATCTCCTTAGCAAACTCCCGCACAGCCTCATTAGGGTCTTCATAGGTAAAGGGGTCGATATAAACCTTCATTCCAGGAGCAACTAGAGGAAGAAAAGGTGGGCGTGAGAGGGAGCCAGATCCTCGGGCTGAGAACAGTGAGGGAACTCTGCCACCCAGATCCTGCCCCAGTCTTCCTCCCTACCCCCCGCCCCAACAGAAGCACATTCCCAACCTCCCTGCTAAGCCTGCTCTGTATTCCTTTCTGATGAAGCTAGAGCTCCCCCATCCCCACCCCACCACTGTCCCCTTGGTGAGAACTAGCAACCATAAAGGCTAAACACCTGGTGTTCTTCTCCTTCTTTCTCCCTCATCTCTCGTCACGTCAAAGCCTGTTTCAGACCCGTCCCTCCCCTCATTCCCTCTGCCCCTGACCTTGCCAGGCTGTCATCACCCAGACTACTGCCATAGCCGCCCAGCTGGGCTCTCTGCCTCTGGACTTTTCTCACCTATCTAGCCCGCATACCTGTCTTCCTACAACAATACTTTCATTGTATTGCTCCCCAGCTTGAGAGCCTTTCAGATTACCTATGGTGCAGTCAAGTCCAAACTCCTCTGCCTGCCTTTCACGACCCTCCGAGGACTGGCCACAACTACCCATCCTGGCTTCCCAGCAGCTGTCAAACCAGTCTTCTCACTGCCCCCACAGTCGGGCACTCTCTCCACCCCACCCACTACCTTCCAGAGGCTCCTCTAGCCCAGAATGCTCCCCCTTCCACCTCTCTAAACCCCACTAAATCTCACCTGGCTCAGCTCAGCCCAAGGCTACCTCCTCCAGGAAGCCTTCCTGTCTTCTGAACTCTCACTGTCCTCTGTCGCAGGAACCCCCGACTTAACACTGAATTGTTCTCTCATTGTTTCCTGTGTGTACTATGTTGTCTTTCTCACAAGACTAACTACCCCTGAGGACAGGGGTCACATCTCACTCATCTCTGGGGCTAGCAGGAGTGAGTAGGGGCTCAGGAAATGGCACTTAATTGGAAGCAAGATGGGGCATCCAAGGGAGGAGTTAAAGGAATGAAGTCCCAGCCAGCAAAGAGGGTATCCCCAAGCCCCGCAGGGACCAAGGGAGCTTTGGGAGGTGGGAATGAGGAGGCAGACTCACTGTATTGCTGCAGCTTCTCTGTATACTCCGAATCAGAGCTGTGCCGCTGCTTCCTAGGGGGAAGGGGAGAGGGGAGGCCTGAGACAAGTCCAAGCTCCATCCGTTCAGGGATCCCTTGGGCTCATAGGAGGGGCAGAGTGCCCAGTGCCTGGTCCCATGGTCAGTGGTTACAGCTACCTCTGGGTCTGTGGGCAAGGGGCTCAGTGGACTTGATCCCTGAGGGAATTTGGGGACAGAGAGGGGACAGAATGAAGACATGGGTGTGGATTGGAAAGGGCCTCTCCAGCAATGACACCTGGGCCTAGGAAGGCTGTGGTTCCAGGTCTGATGTGGGTGATGGTCACCTATGCGCTGAGAGGGCTCAAGGGCACTAAAGGAATGCTCCAGTGGGCCCCTGGGCCCATCGGTACCTGAGGCAGACGACAGCAATGACCACCACAGCCACTACGAAGACCAGCCCAGCTGTGGCTGAGCCCACGATGAGGGGGAGTTGCTCCTGGAGCTGCTGGGCACCGGAGCCTAGAGACGAGGGGGAGGCACAGGTGAGTGGAGGGATGGCAAGCGTGGGCGGGGCGGGGACAGGTGTGGGGGGGCGTGTACCTCTCTCGCTTGTGGTCTCAAACTCAGCTGGGTGGCTGTATTGCCCATAGCCAGCTACCGTGCGGGCACGGACCTGGACCACGTAGCGGGCATCAGGCCTCAGTCCATCCAGCTGCACGGAGTTCTTCTGGCTGGTCACGGTGGAGGCGATGCCCTCACTCTGCAACACCAGGAGGACACTGAGTCTCAGTGGGTCCTGACCTCCCTTGGCCCCTGCCCAGCCTCCTCAGTACCCAAAGCTTTGCTCCCAGGGGACCCCAACACTATCTGGAGTGATCTTCTTGCCCCAGGGCTTCCTCCTGCCCTTTGAGGCTCTGACCTTCTCAAAGTACTTCATCTCGTAGTCCAGGATGACTCCATTGGGCCGCTCTGGGGGCGCCCAGGACAGGGTCAGGCTGCTCCCGGAGCTGCTATGCAGGCGTAGGGTCGGCACTTCGGAGGGGGCTAGGGAAGGGGTGGGGCTCAGCACGGGCTCCTCGGGCCCTGGCATCCTTCCCAAGGACCCAGTTCCCCGGGGCCCCCCAGTGGACCATGGGCAGGCCCCAGACAACTCCGCTCTGGGTGGGGGAAGGTGACCCAGGCCCTACCCTCCCGTTGCCCTCCTCACCAGCCTGGTTGGTGGTGATATTCACAGCTGCGTAGCGGGGGGGCAGAGGGCTCTTGCCCGAGACCCCGTTGACCGCCTGCACCTCAAAGGTGTAGCGTGTGTGGGCCAGCAGGTGGCTGATGTGCACCCGGCGCTCGGTCAGGCCCAGCTGCCGAGGCACAAACTCCACGTTGTCATCACAGCGTGAGCAGGTCATGGTCCCGGGGCCCCCGTGGCACTTCTTGCAGATGACATTGTAGAGGAGGTCATCCCGGCCACCCAGGTCCCGGGGCTCACTCCACTCAAGGATCAGCGAGGTCTCGTTCACATTAGAGATCACACCCCGGGGCGGAGATGGCACCGCTGTGGGGAAGATGAGGGGGAGAGCGGTGAGCTGGGGTGCGGGGACCACCCTCTGCCCAGAGGGTCTGCGTTCTCCAAGCTGCTTCCTACCTCTGCTTTTGCCTCTGCTTTCATATGCAGAATACCTTTCCTATGCCTCTTCACACTCCTATTTGGGCACACTCCTATTTGGCCTTTAAGGGTCAACTTGAGAGGTCACCTCCTCTTGGAAACCTTCCTTGATTCATCCTCTCCCCATCCTATGTACTCCCGTAACCATTCCTGGGCATCCCGCCAGCCTTGCATTTAGCACATTATACGGTGGTTATCTGTTTCCACATCTGTTTCTCCTGCCAGGTTGCAAGTTCCTAGGACAGTTGACTGCATCATTCCTGGTGCCTGGCAATGCCTGGCACCAAAGGCCAGAGGAGGGAGAAAGCAGAATACCAGGCTGTCCCAGGGATGAGGCCCCTTCTCTGGTTAGAGATGGACCAAAAGAATAGCAGTCCTAGACAGAAGAAGCAGCAGTGAACTAGAGGGTCCTAGACAGTTCCTGATACCCAGCTAGGAGCTAGCAGATGCTTATTTAGTATTGGTGGAGGGCTAAGCCTTTCAATTCACCTGGTTTCTGGCTCAGGGGCTGGTCAATTCCTACCTGCGCCGTGTTGAGCACAACATCTAACCTCCACCCTCAGTGTCCCCATCTGGAAAGTGGAGATATTCACAGAGACTGTTTAGGCATCCCCAGCCTGGCCCACAGAGGGAAGGCCTGAAGTGGAGAACATGAGGACGTGCCACCACTCACTGGTACAGGCACTGTCTGCGGAGTCAGAGTCTGCGCGGTAGAAGTTGTTATGGCAGGTGCAGATGCCAGCGGCTGGTGCAGTGGTGCGGCTATTGGGTGGACAGGGGAGGCAGGGCCCTTCTCCCTGCTTCGCCTTGTAGCTCCCGGGGGGACAGGCTGTGGGGGAGAAGAGGATGGACATCTCAGCTCCCTCCCCTGCAGACACAACCCTCCACACCTCCATGGGAATCTGGCCCTTCCCCAGCACAAGTCTTGGCCCCTCCACCTCCCAGACTGTGCAAGCCATGCTGGTATTGCTTAACTCTGGCTGCAGCTACAAAAGGCCCTTCTGCCTTGTGGAAACCCCACGTCAGCGGATTCCTCCCCGCCCCTCCCCCACCCCCACCCCTGGGGCCTCATGGAAGAAGACGTCAGCTCCATCACCTGGACAGCCTGGACTTGTCGAGGCAGGGAAAAGAGAGGGAGGAGGAGGAAGAGGAGGGGGAGGGAAGAGACCGCTAGCAGGCCAGCAGCACACTCTACTCTGCTGGGATGCCCCCGCCCCTCCCTGAAACTCAAGGACAATTACTCCTGAAGAGCCTCAAGAACACCCCAGAACAACCAGGGGTGGGGACTCTGAGTTTCGTGGCCCACCTCTCTCCCTGCCCACCAGAAGGAGGGTAGCAGCGCCTTTCTGCCCTGGGGCAGGGGTGGGGGCTGAGAAGGGGTGAGAAAAGTAGAGAAAGAAAGCAGGCAGAAAGGCTGAGGTCACCTGGAGTTCAGAGGCCTCAAAGTGTCCACAAGGGGAACCCTAAACCTAAGAGGAAGCCTAGAGCTCCGTGCCTGAAAACCTGGCACCTCTATCTGGACTTGGGTTTCTGGAGATCCCCTATATCTATGATGGCCATATGATTTATTACTCAAACTGGACTGTTTTGAGAGTGAAAAGGGTCACAAGTAATAATCAGGATAGCTTGATGGGCGTAAACCAGGGCTGCCTTGGACACACTAACATATATGGTCACCCTGTCCATACACAACTGCTTTCGAGAAGGTTATCCTGAGTGTGGGATCCCCGGAGCTGGGGCTATGCCTTCTCTGGGGTTTAATCTCCCCTGACTAAGGTGATATTCCATCCAAGCTCTTTTGAACCAGTGGGAGAGGGGGCAGGGGCCAGGCCAGCCTGGTTGCCATGGGAACCAGCATGCATTTCCTGCCAGGGACCTGCAGAGTGTTAGCCCCTCTTCAGGCTGTCAGGCTCATCACCCCCCACCCCCTTTCTCCACTTAGGAGGAGGAAGTCTGGGGGCAGGTTCCCATAGTGAAGTGGAGAGGCGCCGGGCAAGGCACTGTTCACCTTCCCATGACAGCACAGACATGAAGCCTCACAGCCAGTTTGGGCCACCAGCCCCCCCACACCGAGGGCTGTGCTAAGAGCTGGCTCCCACCCTTTGGCGCTTCAGGCTGCAAGCTCCAGGAGGGCAGACAAGGCCCTCAGCACCTTGACACGCATGGAACAGCACCTTAATGAGACTGTGTTGCCAATGCCCACATTCCCCACCTTGAGGCCTGGAGCATAACCTCTCTGAGCCTCCTTATTGGCTAAACAGAAGAGGTAACTGGAATCTACCATACAAGACTGTGGTGAGGCTCAGATGAGAGAACCTCTTGTGAACGGGGATTATAGCTGGCAAGTCTAGTACACTGTGAGGTCTTATGAGTCTTGGCAAGCCAGCCGAGACAGGCCCCCTAACTTCCTTGTTGTATGCTTGCGTGTGCACGTGCTCAGTTGTATCTGACTCTTTCCGACCCACCAGGCTCCTCTGTCCATGGGATTTCCCCAGCAAGAATACTGGAGTGAGTTGCCACTTCCAGGGGATCTTCCCAACCCAGGGATCGAACTCACATCTTCTGCATTGGCAGGTGGATTCTTTACTACTGTGCCACCTGGGAAGCCTGCTCTTGTGTATGAATCAAGGACAAAACAATCCCTGTCCCCTGCATCCCAAAACTCCTGAAAGTCACAGCACACACTTACATGGTGCTCTGCTTCCCCGTGTGCCAGGCACTGTTCCAAGGGTGCCCATGCAGTGATTCAGTTCAGTGCCATTCCAGCTCCATGAAGGAATCACCACTAATGCCCCCATTTTGCACATAATAAGGAAACCAGGGTTCAAGAGTTCAGTGACTTGCCCAAGGTCTCACAGGTGGTAAGTGGCAGAGTCAGAACTCAGGAGTTTAGAGACAGGGGCCTCTGATCTCTGTACTATAAATGTAGCCTCTTAAGATGCAGATGAGACCCCCAGGTTAAAGGGTCAAGCATGAGGAGCTCCAGGGCCCATCTAATATTTCCGGGTGACACACACTTGGGCACTTGGGCCTGAACAAGTGGGCATCTCTGCCGGCCTCACGAGGCTCTAAGCACATTCTCCAGGTGCCTATTTGTCAAGGATTCCCCATGGTTTCCTTCCTCTCTCTTTAGTTTCATTATTTCTTTTATGATTCTGGTGTCTCTCCTTATTTTCTCTCATCTCCCTTCTTGTACAACATTTTTGGCACCTGATACCCCTCTTCCCTTTCCTCCCTCTGCCCCAGATCGGGCAGGTAGGAAGTAGTAGGTAGGGGGCTGTGGGTGGCGGCGGCCCAGGCCTGTCCCTCCCCTCCCCCAGGCCAGTCCTCACTCACGGCGGCACTGGGACTCCTTGGCGGCTGGCTCATGGCCGGTGGCACAGGTACAGGCGCCCACAGGCACCATCCACTCCCCGTCACCGTTGCAGTAGAGCTTGAGGGGCACGGACACCTCCACGGCGTTGGCGATGCAGGTGCCAGGGGCAATGACCAGTGAGGTGGGCTCAGCCCCAGTGAGGGTTTCAGGGAAGAGCGCAAAGCCTGCAGTGGTGGACGCACACTTCTTGTAGAATGCACGCACGGAGATGAGAGACATGCAGGCGCCCTGGTCCTGGAAGGCCAAGTAGAAGCCAGCCTTGGAGAGCGGCCCAAAGCTGCGCACCTTGGTGTTGACACGGCCAGCATCAAGCCTGGAGAAGCTCTCATCAGGTGCGATGGTGTCCACCTTCACGTAGGGGTTCTCCATCCAAAAGGGGGAGGAGGCTGAGGCCACATCACTGTCAGCCTCATAGTAGAAGAGGTTGAAGGTCTCCTTGCAGGAGCCAGGGATATTGGGAATGCTATTGCAGTCCCGCACAGTGAACTTCAGCTCCACATAAACCCGCTGCACATCTCGCCGCCAGATGAACCCTGTGCGAAGCCAGTTGTTCTGGCTGGACTCCCGCACGTTACACACCTGGTACGTGCGGATGGGGTTCATGGCTTCGTCATAGCCACTCACCTCTTCCCACTGTGCAAGTGAAAAAGACGGACAGTGAGACCAGCATTTGCCGGGTGCTTATCACAAGCCCAGATCTGTTATATTTACTTCACAGAGATGCTTCCGTGGTGCAGTGGTTGAGCACATAGACTAGTGGGTTCCAGTCTCAGTTCTCTGTTTGTTGTGTGACTACAGGTAAGTCACTTAACCTCCCTGGCCTCCATTTCCCCATCTGGAACATGGTAAGAATAAAGATATTTAAGGAATAAATGACTTTAACTGAATAAAGCACTTAGAACGGGGCACCTGATAAGTACTTTGTAAGTATCATCTATATTACTTATTATCTTTATGCCTCAGTTTCATTGTCTATAAAATGGGACCAATTGAAAGTAAATGAGGCTGTGAGGAATTAAATAAGTCCAATAAACACTGATTACCACTATTACCATCACATTTAACCTTCACAGTTCCTTAAGAAGATACATCTGTTGTTCCCACTCCTGAGAAGAGGAAGCCAAGACTCACAAAGGCAGGGACTTGCCCAAGGTCACAGAATCGGGTCTGGTGACATGACGGTCTGTAATGTCACCCAAACCCAGTACTCCAGAACTTAGTACAGTTGTGAAGGCCATCGAGGGAAGTCAAATAGAACACTTTAGAGATGTCAAGGACTATAGGAATGTAACATTCAAGAAATGGAGGCCCAGAAAGGCAAACTGTCTTGCTCAAAGTCACAGCAAGTCAGAGATCTGGAACCAATGTTTCTTTGTTCCCAAGCCAGTGCTCCTCCCAAGGACCCGGGAAGGGGGAAGATGACAGACATGCAAAGGACTGTCAGGTAGTAAGGGATGGGAATAGGCTGAAGATAGGCTGAGGGGCGGGCAGAGGGAGAGCGGGACAAAGATGGTGTGTATGTGGGAGCAAGGACAGAGGCAGGCTGAAGGGTCAGAGATGAAAACGTTTTCAGAGATGGACCAGCAGGCAAGGAGGAAGGTGACAGGTGCAGACGATGTAGATGCCACAGATGGGAAACTGACAAGCAGGGGACAGAGGCAGCCCTGCTGAGGCAAAGGGGCCAATTGGCAAGCAACACTCAGGAGGCATGGAGAGGAGGTCTTACCCCACTTTCTGGATGAGAGGTCCATGCCAACTCAGATGTCACCCATTTTGTATCCATGAGGGTCTCTGCAGGAGCAACAAGAGAGAAAATGTCAGGGGCCAAGCTTAGGATAAGGAGAAAGAGGAGGTTGCCCAGCAAAGTCCAGGATGCCAGACATCAATTCCCACCAGGTTCTCCCAGGTTCCCAAAGCTCTCAGCTCCCCAGGCCCAGAGGAGACCCTGCAGCCACTCCCAGAGATGTCACAGCCTCAAAGATGTCTTGTCAGGCCAGCTGGGAGTGGGTGTTAGTCGCTGACCCCAGGTCTGGGTTAATGAGGCAGGAGCCAGGGCCGGATCACACACCTACAGGCTCTACTAATCTCCACACAAAGGGGCTGGCAGGGCCTTTATCCTGCAACAAAGGGCCGTGTGCTTCAGACCCTGTTGCCCAGGCCTCCCCTGACTCCATTCCCAACACAAAGGTGCAGCCCCACACACGCCCAGGGGAATGGGAGAACAGTCGCAGGCCAGAGCCCACACCCACCCAGCCTCCTACACAACCACCTCTGGTGGACAGGACAGGAATGCTGTTTGAGAATGGGGTGAGGATCACCAAGGCCCAGCCAGCTCCTCTAGAGCTAGTTCAGTTGTTCCTGCAATCCTTGGATAAAAGTACTGTTGGTGTATCCCTTTTACAGATGAGAAAACTGATGCCTGGATACAGTATGTGAAAAAAGTGAAACTGTTAGTCGCTCAGTTGTGCCCGACTCTGCGATCCCACGGACTGTAGCCCACCAATGCTCCTTTGTCCATGGGATTCTCCAAGCAAGAATACTGGAGTGGGTAGCTATTCCCTTCTCCCGGTGTTCTTCCCAACCCAGGGATCGAACTCAGGTCTCCTGCATAGCAGGCAGATTCTACACTGTCTAAGCTACCAGGGAAGCCCAAGTACAATATATATAGGACCTAAGGTAAAACTGCTAGAATTTGAGGTGAAAAGTTTTGAAACGTGTCTCAAATTCAAGTGTGATTCTACAACCAATCTCTTAACCAGGGTACTGTGACTGCAATATGCCCTTCTGTAAAGGGGAAACAGAGAAAGCCGAGAAAGCTCCTGTGTATACTTTGTCTCAACCAAGCTGTCACCTCCTCCAAGAAGCCTACCCTGAACCCCCAAGTCAGTGTTAGATGCCTTCCTCTGTGTATCCAGGGCCAAGGGCTTTGTTGCAACACCAATCCCATTCTAAGCTTCAGGTTTTTTGTCTGTTTCCTTTTGCTTGGCCATAGGATGGGTCTATTAATGCTTATGACATAAACTTGCTCCCCTAGGAACTGGATCTGGGTTCTGGCTTGATAACTCTCCTCTCTGACAGTCTAACCCCAAAATTAGACCTAGGAGTGGGAAAGAGGTCCTGAGTCTTTTCTCATAGCCTGGAAGACAGCAAGTAGTTCTCCCCTCAACTCCAAGCTGGAATGGGGCAGGATTGCCCCAGAACTCCTGGGGGCCTCTACATCAACAGTGGGGACAGGCTGGAGGTACTTGAAGAAGGGAAAGACCCAAACCCTACAGACTCCCGGCTTGTGGTCTTTGCCAGTTTCCTGCAGTCTGGGTCTGAGCTGGGGATGGTGGACGAGGCAGCTGTGGGCCCAGGCCCTCACGTGAGGCAAAGGGGGCGGCCAGCAGCAGCCATTCACTTGGGGAGCGAGGCTCCCTCCTCCTTCCTGCAGCAGCAGCTGGTCCCTGGAGGGCCGGGCTGAGGGGTGAGCCATCCCAGCTTCGTCGTCGGTGGCCTGATACGCCCCTCTGGCAGACAGACACACAGACACCGACGTTCAGCGCGGAGGTGGAGGGGTCCGGGAGAGAAGAAGGGGTGGGCAGAAGCAGGGGCCCCAGAGATAGGCAGGGAGGGAGACCGGCGGGGCTCGGGGCTCGGGGCGGAGCGGGCGAATGGTGGGCGGCACCGGAGCAGGAGGGATGTGCGGGGCGGCGGGCTAGGACCAGACTGCCGGGATGGCCAGCGGCGGACTACAAAAGAAAAGGAGGCCCAAGGAGACAGACACGGAGAGGGAGTTGCCAAGTAGCCTCTTCCCCAGCCAGCAGCCCGGAGTGCTGCGGTCCCTGGGAGCCCCTGGGAGCCGCGAGCCAAGTGCACCCCCTCCCCCCAGCCAGTCCGCCTGCTGGTCTGCCCGCTGCCCGCTGCCCGCTGCCCGCCGCCCGCCGCCCGCCACCGCCACCGAGCCGGCCAGGGCTCCCACCGCTCCCTCGAGCTGCCTCCCTCCTCCCTCTCCCTCACTTCCTTCTGCTCAGCCTGTGCCAAACCCATCTGGAACTGTTTAAACCCAAATATTCAGCCCCCTCCCCCCTCCAAGCCAGATTCCTCCACAGTTTAAAACAAGCCCAGCGCTGGCTCTGAGAGGCGGGAGGGAGGGGGCGCCGGGGAGGGAGGCAGAGGGGGAGGTTGGTGAGGGGAGGCTCTTCATTTCTGTTTAATTTCTGGGGAGCGAGAGAGGGAGGGGGCGGGAGGATCGGCCCTTGGCCATCGCTCAGCCTTGGCCATCGCTCAATCTCGGCACATTTTTCCCATTAATGAGGAGAGGACTTAGATTTCGAGTCATGTGTGCCTGAGGAAGGGCTCGGTCACCCTGGTGGGGAGGGGCTTGCTCTCTGGGGGAGGGGAAGGGCCTACTCCCTTCTGCAGGAGGGAGGCCCTGAAGGGCCTGTGTCCCAGCCTCAGGAAGAACATGGGGGTGAATCTGTCTGTGGTGTTGAGGGGGAGAGACTCACCCCATCCACAGCCCACCTTTCCTATGTGTAGGGTGTGTGTGTGTGTAAGTACACACTTGCTGGGGTAAAGGATACAGGCACAGGGGACAAGAACAAAACAGGAATGAAGGAGCAGTCTCCAAACTCCCCAGCTGCCCCCCTCACGCCCACCCACTTCTGTCCCACCATGTGGCTGCTGGAGGGAAACCAGAGGGTGGTGGACACTTGCAGATACAGGCTCTGTTGGGCAGGGAATCCCACCACCACCCCTGCCCCCCTGCAAGAAAGCGGAGGAAGTGGCCACCAGGCCTTTCTGGAACTCTTTGGGACTAGGGCTTCATGGCTCAGAAGGAAAGCAGCACCCCTTTCGGGTTTCACAGGGCCAAAGGGAGTGGCCACGTGGCAGCAGCTGTGTGGCTCTCGCCTGTGCACACAGAGGCACACACTTCACCAAGTTCTCAGTGACTGGGCTCCTTCCCACCACTGGGGCTAAAGAGCGACAAGTCCCACATATGGTGGACAAAAACACACAAAGCCACAGCCACCCGCAGACACACACACACGCTTTCACGCACAGTCTGCCTTTCACAGACACATGGATGCATCTGGTCCAAACAGATCAGTCTTCCTGAGACATCCATATACAATGAATCTTTCCTACACACAGATCCGGCATGCCTTAGGCACAGACTCACTCTCACAGCCTTCATATGTGCGGATTTCCTGAGACATATGCATCCGCGAGGGCGCGTGCAGCCAACAGTGCGTTTTCCCTACACACCCAGCCACACGCTATTGCCAACCACACATCACAGTCTTAAGTGTAGTCAAGTGCAAACACAAACACCAGTTTGCCTGTACAGACGCCGTGACATGCTCTTACACAGTCATACACAACTAGCATCAGCTGCACATGCACAGATGCCCACTTGCACTGTGACATTGCACAGGAGCATGCGGACATAGTATACGCATCAATATCTAGAGGTGGCATAAAGCCTCGGAGTTGCATTCTCAACGCACATACCACACACACACACATTCTGCAAGCCCGTTCTTTCTGTGAGGTGAGTTTTCAAGTGAGATGGAGAAGAGTGGGAGAGGGCACTCTTCTGCAGAGAAAGCAGAGAGACTGGGGCAGCCTTGACCAGAGGCACAGGGAAGGAACAAGCTCCAGACTGGCTTCCTGTGGCCCTGGCCCAGGCAGGAGCTGTCACAGGTCACGAGGCTGGGGGTGGGGCAGGGGCATGAAGATGCTTCTGGGTGTGGCAGGGTGCAGTCTCCCCAGGTATAGCCCTTGCCCAAGCAGCAGGCCACTTCCCTGCTAGCACAATGGTACCATCCCCAGCTCTGGGGCCGTGGTAGGGTGGGGGTGCCAGGATGAAGGCAGGTAGCTTCAGCAGCCTCGGGCAACACTTCCATGCATAAGTTGGGGGCACAAGAGGAGAACATCATGGGCAACCAGCATGTGTCTGAGGGCTTCACTGGGCCATACTGGTGCAGGGTGGGAGCCTGGCCCCTGCTTTAGTGAAGGGCCAGGGGCACATGACTTTATGGAGCTACTAGATCCCACAGAATCCCCAAGCCCCAAGTCACACAAAGCACCCCACCCTGCGAGCAGGTGTGCCGGTGAGACTCAGAGAATAAAAAAATCTAGAGAACAGGAGCAAGAAACAACCAGCCCAAACTCCAGACCACGGACTGTGAGGTGGCAGGAAAGGTCACGCTCCCGAACTGGGCCAACAGAGTGTGCAGGGGCAGGAGGACAGAGGCACAGGGTCTGAGCAAGAAGGCACGCCCTGGGACCCTGCCTGCAAAGAGAGGGGGAAGACTCCTCCAGAGTTGGTCCCCCTCTTCTGCCTGGAATCCCTACCTCAGCCAACCAACCTGAGCAATCTGTCCTGTCTTCTCCCCTCCCACCCCTCCCCGAAGTCTCAGCGTGTGCACATGCGTGTACCAACCTGCACATCCAGGGTGGTCAGCTCGAGAAGGAAGGGATCTGAAGCAGACTCTGCCATAGGACCTGGAGGACCTCCTCTCCCTCCCCCTGCCACGGCCCCAAGGCCCTCAGGTATGGGTTGGAGGGGAAGGGAGCATCTCAGAACAGGGAACACATTTTGTTTTTCATTCTTCCCCTCAGATCACAGAGATTTATAATTAAATAAACCTGAGAGGGAGGAGAAGGGAAGAGGAAGCAAGGGGCAGGAGCCTAAATGCCTCAGTGCTCATCCATGGTCCCCACCCTGCAATGGAGGAGACCTGGGTTCAATCCTTGGGTTGGGAAGATCACCTGGGGAAGGGAATGGCTGGAGTGGTCCAGTATTCTTGCCTGGAAAATTCCATGGACAGAGGAGCCTGGTGGACTACAGTCCATGGGGTCACAAAGAGTCAGACACAACTAAAGCGACTAACACTAAGAGGACTAATGGCCCCCACCCCAGTCATGGCCCTGCCAGCCAGCCAGAAGGGTGATGCACAGCTCACCTTTAAAGGCTTCCCTGGGATTCTGGCCACAGCCGGTCTGACCAGGAGTCTCAGGGCAGAGAGGCAACAGGAGACCGGGTGCCAGGGCCAGCCCTCGGGGCAGGGGGCCTCTCCCACCCCATCAGGTGCCCAGCTGTACCCGGTCTCCCTCCCCACCACCCCCAGCTGCCCAATCCCGACAAACCAGTTTGACTCAGCACAACAGGCAGGGCTACAATTTTCAAACTATGCAGGCCTGGTGATTCAGCCTCTTCATGCTGTTTAATTAGTGGAAGGCCGGGTGGCAGAGGCCTTGCCCATGGCAGCTTTGGGTTAGCTCGCTGCTGCCGAGGCCACAGCGGCGGTGGCGGCAGCAGTTCTGGTTGAAAGGAACACAGTGACAGGCAAGCTGGTTCCCTCGAGGACCTGCCACTGTCCCTCGCCGCAGCTCTGAGGCGCCAGCTCAAGACAGACGGGTGGGGGGCACCAGAGGCCACTCAAACACATGGGAAAGCCACAGAAACCCCAGCCTGCTGTCACTTTTCAGCTGCCACCGCCTCAGTGGTCATTGCCGCTGAGAAAGAGGTGGACTCACACACGCTTCTCTCCCCAGGGAGAGTCTTCCACTGCAGCGACAGGGCTTGCCTGGGAGAAGGCCGACCAGCCCCCACCTCTTATATCTGGTAACTGTTTCTCTTTTCTCCAAAGGGTGTCTTCCCAGCAGGGACCTCCCCATCCTATCTGAGGTATAAGGACCCTGTGGTCTGGACATCCTTCTTCATCCCACGCCCTGTTCCCAGTCCGCTCACCTACTGGACTCCACTTCCTGGTTCATGATCCCCCAAGGGGAGAATGATCTTGGCTTGGGGGACTGGGGAACATTATACGAAAGAAGAGTGAGCAACCAGGTGACCCTCTTTCCCTGTGACTGAGGGTAAATTTGAGGGCAGTTTGTGTGCATGCTGGGGGCGGGGGAATCAATCAGAGGGCAAGGAAAGGTGTTTCTTTAACCAAGGAGGACAAGCAAGGACCCTGGCTCTATCCTCATGGAAAACTGAAATATTTGGAGGCAGAATCTTGGTGAACCCCAAGTGTGTAGATGAAAGAGCAACTAGGTGCTAGTTGGCATCTAACCAATGAGACCATGAGGGTCAGCACCCACAGCTCAAGAACCTGGCCTAAATATAACGACCCCAGAGCCCAAGGGCAAACCAAATACTAGCAAAACCAAAGGGAAGGCTGGAGTGAAGGGGTGAGATCCTCCACCCATAAAGCTTGGGGATGCTGAAGAGATATTTGGTGCTGGGTGTCCCACCTAGCCCTGCCCTCTGGCCTAGCCCAGGACCCCCAAATCTACCCATCCCCCATTCGAGTTCCTGAATAAGGATGGGGTACAGGCAGGAGTCAAGGTCAAGTCTCTTCCTACCCCCATCCTTTCCCTCCCAAAGCTGGAGAGAAATGGAGGTTGGAGGAGAGGGGATAGCAACTTCCCCAGACTAACTTCTCTTCCCCTCATCATGGCTTCCTCTAAGCTCCCTCCTGCAGGGCAAGTGTATACACCAGTTTCACTGTCTGGTGCTCCCCAAGGAGCAGACCCTAGGGTAATAATAATAACAACAGTTAATCCTTGAATAACAATAGCTATGTGCCAAGCACTTGACACACATTAAGGATTCAATCTTCATAACACCCCCTAGGAGGTGGGTTCCACTACTATCCCATGTCACAGTGAGGGAGAGCAGGAGGGTGGGTAGGGGGACCACTGGGCTGGGGTCAGCGCCTGAGGCATCATCTCTCTCCTTTCTTTCTTTCTCACACTAACTGAAGACTCTAAGTTCTGATACATGGCAAACTTGAAGGAATTAATGAAAGCCACACTTGGGAGGCACTGCTACCTTCTTAGGAGCGCCCCACACTGGCCTGGCCTCCCAGCTACCACCCACGCAGTCAGGGAAGAGGCCAGACCCCACTTCACAGCTGAGGGAGGAGGGGACAGAGTAGGGGCCACAGCCCCACTGCCCTCTCTTTCCTGGGCTGCTACAGCTCACCAGGCTTCTGCCTCCCGGCCTGCCCCTCACGTCCTGAGCCTGGAAACCCGGATGCCAGCACAGCTAGGGCCTGCCAGCTAGGGTCTAAAGGGACCAGCAGATTGTGAGGAGTGAAAAGGAGAAATAAAGGAAGGGAAAGAGGAAGAAGGGACACAGGGAGGGAAGAAGGAAGGAAGGGGGGTGAGCCTTTTCAGGTAGCCCTTGCTCACCTGACCCAAACCACCCCCCTTCGCCCCACTCTCAGCATCAGCACCCACCGCACCCCACAACAAGGGCTCTAGGGCCTGGCACACACAGCCCTGTAAGCGCGTGTGCCGGTGTCGTCTCTCCTGGGCTAAGGCACAGACCTGAGAACTCCAGCAGGCTCACACCCTTGAGGCAATCAACAACAAAGCTCCACACTGGTTTCTCACGCCTGTGATCCTATCACACACATGTGGGTGAGTGTGCGCCAAGTGTGGGTGCGACCTTGGTGTGTCTGTCTGGATTTGCATGTGTCCACCCGTGTGAATCAGTCTGTCAGCACCAATGGGCTCAGAGATAAAAGACGATGGGGATTCAGAAGAATGTTGTTTTTTTTCTCCTGGAGAAAATGAAAAAGCAACCAGAAGATGCCTTTCTCTTGTAACTATGTTCTTTTTTCCTTCCAACCTTCAAGTTTACCGATTGTGAACAAGCGAACAAACCAAGTCACACAGAATTTGTTTTTGTTCTTAAACTAAGAAAAGTGACTAGATCGGTTAAAGATACCACACAGAAGTACTGCCTGTCATCCCAGTTCCCCCCAGTCTGTGGTGTCCTTCCCTCCACATTCAGGAAGGTTTTTCTTCCGTCATTTAATGGCTCCAAAAATTTTAGAAAACCGTGTGTGGATGTGTGTGTATCTGTCTGTCTGTCTATTGTTTGCCCCATGTCAGTGCCTCTGTCCCTGCAGGCTTGTGTCAAGTGAATGTATGTGAGCTCTCCCACGGGGGCCAAAACCACTTAGGCTGTTCATCCAGGCACAGTCCTATGGAAGTTGGAGCAACCCCCCAGCAGCCCTCTCTGTAGGTCTCGCACAACCCACGGAGAAGTCTGGCCTTTTCCACTGGTAAGGCATCAGCTCTAGCTCTACTTGAGACAAACCCCACAACCTCAGTTCGGTGGAGACCCCAGCACTGGGGGTGGGGGTCCTGCAAGAAGGCAGAGGGGGAGCGCCAGAGCAGTGTGCAACGGCGATGCACACAGCACCCTGTGGGTAGTTGGCGCTCGGTAAACCGTCAACAATAACAGGCCCCCGCCTCTCCATCCCCTGACAAAGCAGAGTGCACGCACTCGGACTCTCACGGTTAACTCCAAGGGGTTCCTCGCCAACGCGGCCCCTCAACCTGGGGAGCCCAGCAGCAGCCTCGGAGCCCCGGCGTTGCCTGGTGGGGGTCGCCCACACATCCCTGCATTCGGGAGGTGCGGAGGGCCCCGCTCCTCTGTCCTGAGTGCCCGGCACTCCTACAGAAGCTCACCGACGGACCATGACTTTTCAGGGACGCTCACCCAGGTCGAGCTGCCTGCGATCCCGCAACCGGCAGACGAGGCGGCGCCCAAGGCGTCCCCGCCACCCCAGCTCCAGCCCCTGGAGAGGGTGCGGGTGGCCGAGCCTCCTCCGAAGTGCGCCTGGACCGCATCGGACCGACACCGCAGACCCTCCCCCGGCCCCCGCTCGGGCGACCCCAGACACCTTAACCCTTGGACGCACTCCCCCGACGCTGCTCACCTTCCAGCGCCCGGCAGCCGGCGGGCAGCAGCAGGGGCAGCAGCAGCAACGGAGAAAGCAGCGGCAGGAGCCCCGGCGGCAGCGACGGCGGCGGCGGGCGGGCTCGGGCCATGGCCGGGGCTGGCTCCGGGAGCCGAGCCGGGCCGCGCCGGGCCGCGCCGGCGGGGCGGCGGGCACCCGCAGGAGGATCCACTCGGCGGTGGCGAGAAGGCTCGCGCACGGTCCCAGGAGATCCAGGAAAGGAGAGGATGCAACCCAGGCAAGCGGCTCCGGGACCCAGGCGGCGCCCTGAGTCGGGCGATCCCGGGGATGCGAGCAGGTCGGTCCCGGGGGAATCTGGACTAACCAGTCCAGGAGGATCCCGGGCGCTTGGAAAGCTCGGAGCCAGAGAACTCAGGGAGACGGGCCGGGGCGGGAGGGAGCAAGTGGTGGTAGTTCGGTGTGCACAGTAATCCAGCGGTCTCCTGCGGGCCCGACTCGGATCTGAGACTCCGGGTGCGCGCGCCGTCCGGGGTCCGAGCTGGGTTCTTGCTGCGCCGCTCACGTACTCACTTCTGCTGTCCCCAGCGCTGGCGCGGCCGCTCTGGACGAGAGGGGCGGGGCTGTCCGCCTGCCTGTCATCGCGGAGGCCCCGCCCCTATCCACCCGCCGCCCACTCACAGACCGCCAGGCGCGCTGGTTCGGCCTCAACAGCACTCCGCCAGAGCTCAGTTGGCAGCGGTTCCATCACGCCCACCCTCAGGTTCTCTGAGGCCTGGGGTGGGCGGCGCCAAGGAAAAGATGAATTAGATTGGGCGGAGCGATACTGTCCATCAGAGGGAAAAACCCGCCTCCTGTCCCCCAGAGGTGATTAGTAACCGAACCTGAGTCCGAGGTGCCATTCACGTAAAACGAGCCGGGGGCGCCCCCGTGTGGTCTGTGCGTGCCTGAGGCCGCCCCCATGTGGCTGTCTTTACAGTCACGTCCAGACCCAACCTAATCGCGGTTTACGCACTACCAAGTGGGCGTCCTCCGCGACACATCCTGTGACTAGGACCTTCTCACTTGTTTATTCATTCATTCATTCATCTGTGTATTTCATCATTCTTTGAGCCAAAGACTGACTAGAGTTTTCTGGCGATACAGCAATGGATAAGACAGAGGTTTGTGTTCTCTTGGAGCTAACAGAGCGGTGGAGGCAGGCATGAAGTCATCACCGCAGAGTGTAACAGTTATTATTATGGAGGAAGGACAGAGTTGCTGCAGCACATGTGAGATGCATGGCTATGTCTAGCCCTGAGGAAATTACATTCAAGCAGAAATATGAAAGATGAATAGCAGGCGAAGAATATGTGTGTGGGGGCCGGGGAGGGAAGTTTCAAGCAAAGCAAACACACTTTGTGTGAAGTCCCAGGGGCAAGAGAAACTGATATTCATTGGAGGAATTGGAAAGAAGTTCAGAGTATCTTAAATGTAGAGTTGGAGGCTGAGGGGAGCCAAAAGAAAGCTTGGGAGTCGGTGTGGGGAGCAGAGGAATTTTTTTTTTTTAATTCAGAAGGCCTTCCTAAGAGCTAGGGTCTGAAGCAGGGGCATTACTTTATCAGATTAACATGGCTTCTCTGGGAAGAAAGAATGAGGGGAGGCAAGGGTGGAATCAGGGAGGTCAGTGAGAAAGCTGTGGGGTCAGGCAGAGGAAGATGGTGGCTTGAACCAGAGTGGTGGCTGTGGGATGGAGAGAAGTGGGCAGGTCTAAGATATTTAAGGACACAGAGCTTAGGCGAATTGTGATTGGGTGGTTGAGAAGCATGGGGTAAACAGAGACATTAAGAAGAATCCCCAGGTTTCTGAATTGGGCAAATAGACTCCTACCCCATTTGCTCAACAAACTCTTGCAAAGTGCAAAAAAAAACTCTGAAAAAAATTAGTCTAGCTTATTAAGATGTAGATGTTATTATAGCCCCACTTTACAAACAAAACTGACATCTAGAAAGGCTTAGTGACTTGCCCCAAGTCACAGTGCTCATAAGTAGCAGGGGTGGGATTTGAATCAGAGTGTATAACTCTTTCTTTTTTTAAGGATTGTATAGCTTTCAGACTCATTCATTCTACTTCATCAGACACCTTAGGATCACTAAGGTGCCTGCTAAAAACTCAGAATTCTGAGCCACCCATCCACCTTGGATGTTGGGACTCAGAATTTCTGGGGGTATGGAGCCCAGGAGTCTGCATTTCAAATAAGTATTCCAGGTGACTCTGATGCACTCTAAAGTCCGAGGGTCACTATCACCATGCAGCCACCCACTGTCCTAATGGGAGAAACATCCGTCCCTCTGAACCTCCCCCAGATACCATGAGATTTCTCAGGACAGAGAGTAAGAAATCAGATTCTGAGCTGCCTCTGAAGCAAGATGGTCACACTTAGTCCTTTGACCATGAAGTATCCTAGATCCAGTCCTAAAAGTTCCTTTAGTGTAAATGAGGTCATGGCTTGTGGACTCTGAGAGAAGGCGAGGGTGGGATGTTTCAAGAGAACAGCATTGAAACATGTATATTATCTAGGGTGAAACAGTTCACCAGCCCAGGTTGGGTGCATGAGACAAGTGCTCGGGCCTGGTGCACTGGGAAGACCCAGAGGGATTGGGTGGAGAGGGAGGTGGGAGGGGGGAGAGGGAGGTGGGAGGGGGGACCGGGATGGGGAATACATGTAAAAAAAAAAAAAAAAGATACACTATGGTTGTGATAAAAAATAAATAAATAAATTAATTTAAAAAAAAAATGAGGTCATGGATCCAGTGCTCAGGGACATTGCTCTAGAGAGGTTAGTCCCACTGGCCAGAGGCATGTAAGGGTACATGGGACTGGAGTGGGAGTAAGGGGCAGGGGAGGATGCCATGAGATTCCCAGATTTCACCCCATGTGCTTCTGCCTTCAATCTGTTCTCAAGTCCCAGAGACTCCCAGAAACATCATTCAAGGTTCTAGGTCACAGAAGGGATCTTGGAGATCACCTTGTGCAACTCTCCTATTGCAGAGCTGGAAGCCTGAGGCCCAGAGACAGGAGAGCTGGCCCTAGAGTCCCTTCTGCCCTGGGTGCTGGTTGCAGTAGGACAGGGTAACATTTTGGCAGGTGGCCTGGCAGCAATACCTCCCAGCTGAAGTCCTGCTCGTAAGGCGGATCTGTGAGGCCGGCAGTCCTGTTTGCTTAACATCTGTGCCAGGGTAGGCCTCGCCCTGGACAAACACAGCCTGCCTGGCGGCAGGCACCCAGGCTCCTTTGTTCTTGGGCCTGGTAGCACAGGCTGCAGGGCCAGCAGGTAACGGAGGGCCCGTCCTCACCGGATGTTGGCACTATGGTTCCCACGGGAATGGGTCCTGATCAAGAGGCCGACAGGCTGGAGGGCACCTGAGTACTGGCTACAGCAACCTTGGGCAGGAAGGTGACCACCTGGCAACAGAACAGACGTGAGCGGAGGGCAGGTGGAGGGACAGGAACTGAGAGCCAGGCCAGATAAGGAGGGCTTTCATCTCTGCAGGGCTAAGTGAGCAGAAGGCCTTCACCCTCTTATCTTTTCGGGCTGATTAAGTACCAAGGAACCCAGGGAGCAGGCACCTCCAGCTTTTGATTTGGAGTGAAGGGAGAACGTCCAGACTGAGGTCAAGATGCCTCTCCCTGGGCCCATCATTCTTTCCCGGTTTGTTTCTATGAGGGAGATTAATGTAGAAGCAAAACCCTGGACTTTGGCATCAGAGGGAGCTAAGTCTAAATCCTAGCTCAGTCATTTACCAGCTGGGGGACTTATGATAAGAAGCTGAACCTTTCTGAGTCCAAGCGAATGAAGGTAGGACAATGATCATACCGCCCTTGCAGGGCTATGATGATGCTCTGGCCATAGGGCCGGGAGCACTGCAGATATCTAATAATTGCAGGTGCCATATAATAATTAACACTTATGCCCCAGAACCAATCTGGACACACGGTCAGTTTTGGGATAATTATAATAGAAGAATGTGTGTGAATTGAATTGGGGCTGGAACCAACTCCAGATTCTCTTTTTAAAAAATAATAAATATGTGTTCCTAGGTTTGTAGTTTGGGGATAGTGGTGAGAAAGACAAAACTGGGAGAAGAGGGCTTTGGGGAAATAAGTGGTGGGGGATGAGTGCTTTTGGGGCTTCAGTTAAGAACTAGCGTGGAGGCAGAGAGACCAGCGAGGAGGGCAAGATGTGATGGTGATAGGGCTGGCTTTGTATAGCATGGTAGTCTGAGCAATGGGATGGGTGGTCATTTGTAGGAAGAGAAGTAAAAACTTGAGGAGGGGCAATTTGGTTGGGGCAGGGAGGGGGAATAGGGACTGAGGATGTCATTTTGGACTGGCTAGGTTTCGGAGGCCTGTCAGCATCCAGATGGGCTCATGGAGCTGACCGCCACTCCCACCTCCTTTGCTGACCCTCTCCACTGCCATCTAAGCAGCTTCAGATCTGATCTCTCTCTGCCACTTGTAGGCACCACCTCAGGACCTTGGCACTGGCTGTTCCCTCTCTCTGGATCTCTTCTTCTTCCAGCTCTTATAGAACTGCCTCTCAGAATTTAGGTCTCCACCTAAATATCACCTCCCTGACCACTTTGATCTCCTCCCTTGTCCCCCACACTATCACTGTCTCTCCCATTGCACTATTTTATTTTCCTTATACTTAGACTAGTTGAGATTGTATTACATAGCCATTTGTCTACATATGCATTGTCTGTCTCCCTTTCTAAAACATTAGCTTCCTGAGAGCAAGGGCTTGTCTTATTTTCCACTGAATCTGCAGTGTAAGGACCACTGGCCTGCATGAAGTTGCATTTACTAAATCAATCAGTAAGAAGGGCAAATATATGGGATTCCTACTGCCACTTCCTCTTCCCATGCCTGTGGCAAACGTTGCTCATCAACTATTGGCTTTTTCCTCAATGTGATGCTGCAGATGGCCCTTGTCCTCGTAAAGCTCTGAGAGTTGGCATAGAAAGTTCCACCAACCTGCCATCCCTGTAGTAGACAAAGGTCCTCTGCTGGCTACCATGTGATCATGTGCAAGTCTTTTAAAACTCCTTGGGCGACTTCCCTGGTGGTCCAATGGCTAAGACCCTGAGCCCC